AATTTTCAATTTTGTAAATTATTTCATATAACACTAGAGTTATTTACTAAGCTTCATTATTAAAATATTGATAATTTTTTTTTTTTGAAGTTTATGCTTCTGGATATAATTGAGAGTAATTCGTAACTGTTTTATTCAACTACTTTAAAAACTAATTCTAGATGAATTATTGTGGGAATTTAGCCAAGTATAGAGGTACCTTTGATGTCTTTTTCTCTTTCGGTGTTTTCATAGGTATAAATTTCTTTTCTTGCAAGAATTGGAGGAGTTTCTCTTCTTCTCCATCAGTACTTAAAACTTGCCCTTGAAAGTGGTCTTTATTATCATGCCTTCGAAATCGTAAAATAAGACAAAATCTTGCAATTTAGGGAATATGTGTTTCAAAATTAAAAATAAAACTGTATAATATACTGTAAGAAATTGAAATTAGTTAAATAAACTGTGATATTTCATAAAATTTTAGTTAAATATAGGTATTTAAAAGCTGTGTACTGTAAGTTTTCTCTATATTGGATTTACTTATTTTATTGTTGTTTATTTAAACAACAACGAACTTTTACTTAAATATTTCTTAGAAGTACTCAAGGGGTATTTTGTATTAAACTGAAATTTTGAAAACTTAAAAAAAGTCATGCTATGATTTTTTACTTTTGCTGAAAACTTCTCGACATAATTTATCTTTTTTTACCCGTTTTTTAAGTCAATACACATTGGGGTAGATCGCGGTTATATGGAGAAAAAAAATGATTATTAATCAGAATCTATCTATGCGGAAAATATGTTCTTTGGTATGGAGATTAGGAGAGAAATAATTACAAAATATACACAGTCGAACCTCCATATTACGAGCCTCTATATTGCAAATTTTTTTATATAGCGAACTTTTTCCTGGAGCCTAGAATATTTCACGATTTCCTTCGTAAAATAACCTCCCAATAGCGAAGTGCATTTTCTATAAAACGAACATTTTTCTTGTGATTAAATCCCCCCCCCTATTTTTAAAGTGTAAAGAATATTGCTTTAAAATTTGGTATTCCTCCAAACAGCTTATCAACTACAATAAAAAAAAATCGAGATAAGTTACAAAATTATGATTCATTGAATTCTTGTTCAAAACGTTTAAGAAAATGCGTCTTTTAAGATGTCGACGAGGCAGCTATGAAGTGAATACACACAATGCGAGATAAAAATTTTCCGATCTCTAGACCTTCCGTAATAGAGAAAACTCCTTAATTTGCGAAGGCATTAGAATGCGTCCAATTTCTATGTAGCAATAGATGGTTAGAAAAACTTAAGAAAATTTATGGAAAGGGATTTTTGGTGCATTGCAAAGAAGTGAGGCGTATTATGAAACAAAATTAACAAATTTTAAGTGTAATTAAATTTAAGATCACTTGAGGTAATGTATGTTTAGAATTTCTAGTTATAAAATAATGTATGTTTAAAATTACTTGTATGCTTTAAATTAGAAAATGTCCTTAAAATTCATTACTTTTAATATAAAATTACTTTCTTAATGTAGAAAATAGAATATATTCCTCGACATTCTTTTTTCTTCTTTTCTTTTTTTTTAATAAGATACATAAACTAAAAATATATTAATTTATAAAAAAAAAAGGTGTGAATAATTTCTTTTTTTAATACTTATTGCTTATGAATTTAAAATTTGTTTTTTTGTGGTTTATAAAGTATATTGAAAGAGGAATCTCTATATTACGAATTTTTCCATATAACGAACTTTTATTTCGGGATTTAGCGACTTCGTTAAATAGAGGTTCGAATGTAATTTCAAAATTCAATAATGCCACAAAGAGTTGTTGAATTTTCGTCGAAATGGGAAAAGATTCACTTTTGGTTAGATGATTTTACACTCAAAATAAAATTATTTTTCTACAACATGAATCACCAAACATTTATGATCATTGATGAGTACCGAATAGTGAATCACTTCATATACTAAACTTTTTCTCCCCACTTCTCCAAATCAGACTGATCCAGATAGTTGTCGATATTCCGCTTTATCGTGTAATGTAATTTTGACAGTACAGAGTTTTTTTAAAAAAATTAATACTAAAGAATCTGTTACATTTACCTGATGTTTTTTCTTGTAACTCTTAAGTAGGTATCCTTCTTTCATCACAATAAATGTTAAAATGCACTAAAATACTTGTTTTACTTCAACAAAAATTACTTTGACTCTACCATTAAAAAAAATCTATACTTCATTTTACTTGTGGCAGTACTTATTAATTATTTTACTTAAATTAATTATTTTACTTTTCCTTTCATCTGTATACCAGAGGAAATCTTTTCCGCGCGGGTCAATTTTTAAATCTTGAAACGAAATTTCTCTATCCACCGTGATGTACCTTCTCTTGTTCGGATTTTGTCGATTGCTGATAGGTGTGGAATCCATAGATATATTATGAAGTTTTGCTTTTCAACTAAACTATATCTGGTTTAATTTGATGAGTGAACTACAATTATTTTCAAAATTCTTTTTTTTTTAATATACTGGTAGATTTAGAACCGTAAGGTATCCGAGTACTTGCGACAACTTTTTCTTTTAAAAACAGATATATGAGGATTTTTTTTATGGTTTTTAGATTTATTTAGTACCCTTTAAGAAAAAATATGCTAAAATTAAGAAGAGAAAAAAAAATTATTGTTACTAAAACGAGAAAAATTGTTAAAATTTACAAAAAAAATTATATAAACCGGGCCCATTTTTTACAAAAAGTATATAAGCAAATTTTCAATTTTGATGTGTTGCTTTGCTATTCATTTTTAAAATGACTATAGGGATAAAAGATACGAGTATTTCTTTTTTTACAAAAATTAGAGTATTTTTTCTGAATTATTATATGAATTTGATTGTATTCACATAAGGAACTGTAAATTTTGTAATAAAACAGTAATTGAAAAATTTCAAGGTTTAAATACTTCTATTATTATACAGAACATACCCAAAAAGGTTCAGTTAATTCTTTTCAAAACCTTTTGAGCAATCGTTTTTCCCGTTTGAGCATTTTAAAAAAAGCACATTTCGAACTTTTTCTGAAAAAAGAAAAGAAAAAAAAAAAAATACAACATTTCGAGTAAAATGCATTTTAAAGTATGACATCTTGCTTAAAGTATTGGCATCTGCTTTCCCTAAAATCCCTGTAGTTTTTGTTCCAGTGCAGGGGTGTCCAACACGCGTCCCGCCAGTACGAAAGTTGCGACCCACCGACTCTTTTTAAAAAAATTCTAAGTATCAGATTTTTAAAGTGTTTTAATTTTGAAATTTATTTGATGGAAAATTTATATATATATATATATATAATGTATTTGCCTATTACCTGTTCTTGTTTTAAAAGAAATCATTTTTTATAGTAGAAATGTCTTTTAGATTAAAATAGATTTATATTTGATCAAACAGTTACATTTGATTTTACTATAGTAAATTACTTTTTTAAAAAATTTCGAATTGCGTTATGCATATCCTTTACTATGGATGGTACATGATTCTCTGTGTGTGCGACTTTCGTTTCTCCTCCTCCTTTTCTGTTTGGATCACCCAAAAAGCAAGAGGCAGTCAGAGATGTTTTTTAAAGTTTAAAAAAATAAAAGATAAAAGGATAAAGGACAATGTATACTTCTTTTGATCGTTTGCGAATGACAGCACTATCTAATTTCAACAATGAGTTACGAAGGATCAATTCAATAGGAACACCGTAATTTTCAAGAAAATGGCAACTGTAATATTTTAAACATTTGATCATTGCATTATTATATTATATAAACTTTATTATATTATCTATGTCTGTATACATGAAAAATAGTGGGAACAATAATAATAATACATTCTGTTTTAAATTTTCACTCCAATAAATTTTTATTTTTGTTTTCAAACCTGATACAAAGGTACATATTTTTATGTGCGGCCAGCGAGATGATAATATTTTTCCGAAGTGGCCCGCAAGGTCATTTGTGTTGGACACCCCTGTTCTAGTGAATGGAAAATACTAAATTTGGTTTCTTCATAAAGCTAATAAAATGGCCTATAAAATAAAATCATAAAATAAGTTTGTCAATTTTTGACAAAACTCACAATTATAGGGTAGTTGAATACCGTAAAAAATCTTATGCTTCTTTATTTGAAAATAAGACTTTTTGCACAATCCATATTTTCAAAAAAATCTTATCCATGAAAAACTTTTATTTCCTATCAAAAACAGAACAAAATAAAACGCTTCACCGATAATTCACCACACCTTCATTGCAGGCCGATACGATGCATCTCAAAACCTTCCAGGGAAAAATGAGCGAGGAAAATTTCATTTCTTCCTATTCCCCCATAAATTAGTTACAGTTGTCTGTATTGCAAAAGCGCGCACTTCCATCAAGATAAAGAGGCCGAATTTAATTTCCTAATCTCCTCTATACTGCAATTAATATAATAGAAGTTTAAACACAGAGGGGAGAATGTCTCTGAGGAGTGGCTTTTAATCAGATAAGCTGGCTGAGTGGGAACTTGTAGATTAAATATGAGATTGGGAGAGTGTAGAGTGTGGTGCTGCCTATTATCATATTCTCTTTAATCTGATATGTAGAATGTCCGTAGAATATTGTGATTTTTCTTTGGAGTTTGTGACACTGACGTGTTAAGCTGCTTATTCGAGCGAAAGTCTAATTGCTTGAGGATGGGTTTGTAATCTCTGTTTGCTGAAATAAACAAGTTTGTGTGATTGTTGTTAATAAGAATTAAGGTACGATCTCTCTATGGATGGATAAAAAAAATTGGTGTGTTATTTTATATTTTTAAAGTTATACTTCTTTTGGGGTGTTAGTGAAATAGGATGAGAGTAAAGTTTTACAATGCGCGCGCTCCCCGTCACGGATGTGATGCAGAACCGTCACGGATACGGAATTCCTTTGTCAAGAAATATACAAAACGAGACAAATCATTCCCGCCTTCGAAATTCTCAGAAAAATATTTCTCTTCACTTCTCTGAAGAAGGGGGCACCCAGGTTTGAACCGGGGACCTTCCGATCTGCAGTCGAATGCTCTACCACACTGAGCTATACACCCGCGCCAGCAAACCTTTGCTTTGCGTTCCGTAGGAACGGATACGAAAATGCTTTGTCTAGAAATATGCAGAATGGGACAGATCATTCCCGCATTCGACCCCCTCCGCATATTATTGGTCTTACTGTTCCTGAGAGGGGGTGTTTAAATTTATTTAAATCGTGATTATCTCAGGTTTGGCTGGTCCGATTGACTGAAAGTGAGTATCGTTCAACTCTGCTCTTGACCGCCTTTCGTCCTTGACCCAGCTTGCCCTGCTTAAGATTTTTAGAAAGATTTTAATCTTGTTAGCCAAAGAAGTATAACTTCTTACGTGCGTACATAAGTACGCACACACTTTTTTTTTTTAAATAATGGAAACTCTTGCATCGCTTTGAAATGGGTTTTTCACCTTTTCGAAAGCATTTATGAATATTTTAGTATTTAGGAATCTTTGTTAACGGAATGAGAAATAGGGTGCATAAGTTCTTTATAGCTTGTGCATTTTGGTAATGAGGGATGTTGAGTTTTGAAGTACAAAACCTAATTAATTTTTTCAGGATTATTATATTGTTTTACTATTTTCAGTTGGTTATTTTTTTTAAAAATTACTTTTTGCACTGAATTGAATTAAAGATGCACTGAATTCATTATTAATGCTTGCAAAAAATAATCTCAAAATAAATCTTTCTTAGTCCATTAAATTTTTCTTTTTTACATAAAAGGAATATTTTTGTTCTTTATTTAAACAGTCTCTTCTTAAATCTTGACAGTCTTTAATTTTTTATTACGATTTCTTAAGCTGAATATTGCAATTTTATACTACAACACAAAAAGCAGTGTTTTGAAAGGGGCATTTCTTAATGGTATTCATACGAAATATATAATTCTGTTATACTTTTATGCTCATCTTGTTCTATATTTGTTTGTAAGGTAAATTATTTTTACTTTTAATGCAATTTACATTAACTTTAATAGTCCCTTTAGTCATAAAAGAAAAGTAATAAGTCTTCATTTCTATGAATTTTACATAACTGATGTGACAATGTAAAACACTGAATTATACTTAATTGTAAAACTAATTTTGTATAACTGATACATATGAGTTAGTATTTCATAAGACACCTGTTCTCGTAGTACAATATCCAACAGTGGTTTAACGAAGAGATTGTTTGCTAATCAATATAGTGTTAAAAAAATTCACAATGTGGCTTCCAATAATATATTTTTAAGTCAGTAGTAAATTAATTATATATAATCTTTTCTGCTGTATGTTATTTTGATTCCTTGATCTAACGGAAATGTGCAAAGCATTGATAGAGGTCTTTTTGTCTGGTTCTTTGCAGGTTTGGCGAAGATGAAGAGTTGTATCTCGTGTCGCTGCATCTGGCTGTGCTTCAAGGCGCTGAGTGGCGGCGTCCTTCTCATCGCCATCGGCGTCGGCATGACCGTCTTCGGCTTCTACGCCGACACCTTCGCCGTCCAGGAGCAGCTCGACGAGGAAACCAACACCACAGTGCACGTGGTCAACGAGCACCTCAAGCTGCACATCCACAACCTCACGTACGTGGGGCCTGTGTTCATGGGACTAGGGGGAATGATGATCGTAGCCGCCTGCGTTCTCATCGATGCCCAAGAGGACGCGGACGCCAGGGCGTCCCGTAATCGTAGGCCTTCGGACGCAGAGGGCACGGAGCAGCTTATAGCCAAGGCGGAGCCCTGTAATGGGCCTTTTTTCAGCCTCGACTTACCGCCTACCAAGAACACGAACAGAGAAGGTTTTCAGGAGGTGGTCACCGTCGCTGAGGTGGTCGCCCTACCGAATGGACCCAATACGCCGAGGCCACCTCTACCCTTGCCAGTTTCGCCGACGGAGACTTCGTCCAGTCTCTCGTCGCCGCCCCTTCGCGTGGCCGTCCGCCAGAAGAAGAAGAGGAAGAACAGTAGTAGCACGTTCAGTTTCCTGAGCCCTCTCTTCGACGTGCCCTCCCCACAGGACATCCAGATCCTGGACCCGGACGGATGCACCCCGGACGCCGGATTCACCCTCGAGATGGACGTCCTCAACACCACCAAGTGCCACCCACCGCCGCGACTCCAGCTGGAACCCCGCTATCTGGCGTCGATCGAGAGCGACGGACTCTCGGACAGTGACACAGCCGAGACCGAGTTCAGCGGCAGCCTCAAGGGCAGATTCTGCTCGGAGGGCCAGGACATGCCCCTGCTGGGCAGGTGCAGTCCTCCCTCCTCGCCTGAGTACCCCATGGAACCTTTGCTCAAGAGGGACCGGACGGGTCTGCGTAGGTTCCAGCTCATGCGACAGGTGCCCCATAACTCGCGGACGCTCTTCGACGGGCCCTCGTCAGAGGGGGGCTCCAGATAGGAGAGGGGGTCGCTTGCCCCCTCGCTAGAAGTTCACGCCTTTTTTGGATATATATAAAATAAATGCCGGTGTTTTTCCACTTTTTTACTCAAGTCGTGGTTCTGCGTCGTGAGAGAAAATCAGAGGTATGTCTTTTACTATTTTCTTTTTCCCTTTTCTTTAATCATCTCTGCATGAATCATTATAGCTAGATTTTCTTCTTACTTGATAACTCACTAGATGATAGATATATCTTGAGTTATATGCAATGTGTTTTTACAGCAGATTTTGTCAACTAATAAACTGTATTGTCAAATACATTTCTGAATCTGAGGTGCAATGAAAGCAAAACTATTGTCTTTTTCATCTTTTTCAAACTTTTGTCAGAAGACGCAAAAGATACATATCTCGTACCTTAATCAAAATATCCTGTTACTCTTCTAATCACTTTTTGTGTTCATAGTATAAACAATTACGAAAAAGTATCTGGTATGTGTAAAGTCCGAGTATTAACGAAGTTATGAACAATTTCTTTGCAAAGTTTCTGTGTTATTTGAAAGAAAATGCAGTCGGAATCTTGTAATTCACGTTTAAATATATTTTATCTCTTGAAAGTAAAGAAAAAAAAATGTATCAATGATTTTTCTTAAGAGATGGTCTGTAATGTTTAATTAATTTAAATTCATGTTTGTGTGTTTTAACTCAATATTAGAACGGCTGACTGAATCGGAAAATCCCTTATTAGTTGATTGAATATTCTATAAAAAATCTATAAAATTTTTACATTATGTATAACTTATGTACAGTTGAAACAGTCTAATTAGATAATTAACTATATTAACCATTATTGTAGATAACATATTTACTAAATTTAAGTGTAAAATAAGAGACTTCTTTATTTCGTATGGTACAAATAGAAACACAATTTGAAATTTATAAATGTCTGACGCATTACATATGTGTTAAACTTTCATTAATGTTCAGTTTATTTCAAAGCATTTTCTTTTGAGATTTAAAAATTTCCTTCGACAATTATCAAAAAAATTAAACTTGTGTTTTATATGTAAGCTTTTACGGGAACATTTAAAACAATGATTTATATTTTTATTTGAACAGGAAAGGTTATTTGTGAAGAAAATCTCTAATATCGTATCAGTCCCACTCTTACAAAATTAATGAAATGGGTGACTTTCTTGGATTTTTGTATACAAGATGATTTAAAGGAATTTCAACACCATGTTTGAATTCATTTTTAACCAAAGTTCTTGTAGAATGATTTCTAAATTCTTTGCAAATAAGGAAAGAATTATTATATTTTCTGAACCCCGCTCCTTCTCGTTGATGAGTTCTTTAAAACAAATATAGAGCAATCTATAATCTTAGGATACTTCAGTTTATTAAATTTCATACTGTCAATATTTGTGCTTAAAGAACACTTAAAAGACAACTTAAGGGGAAAGTAATATCATTTTTTATACTTACCTTTTTTTCTTAATGAGTGACGTGAATTTCCGGATTTACAGTCTTATCTTATGCTGAGCTACAATTTTTTTTAATGAGTTTAAATGCATGTGTTCCATTACTGTTGCAAGTATTCCAACGACTAAAAAATAATTTGTAACTATTTTTTTTAAATATTTAATTATTAATTGAAGTTTCAAACTACTTACATCTCCCTTAAACAGTTACAAGCAAAATGATCTCAATAAACTCCATTAACTAAGAATTAAAATAATCATTCTTTGTTCATTATAAATATAGGGTGTCCGAAAAGTCTGGCAAAAAACTTTCAGAAATGAATTAAAAACAAGTAATATATAAAGAAAAATTTAAGTCAATTCCTACATAGAGCAACAAGGAAAGATTTTATTTTAGCAATTTTTTATTAAATAGTTAAAATTAATATAAATATGTATATACGTATGACAGAAGCACAACATCAAGTGGTAATTAATTTTTATTAATTATCACTTAAGTATCGTATTGTCATCCAAAGCAATCGTGTCTATAAAATTTCAGTTCAACTGAGTGCATTAAAACGTGAGAAAAAAAAATCTTTTCAAGTTTTGACACAAGTCGCCAAAAGGGTCGCTAAGTTGCCAAAAATGATGCCAAAGTGGCTGTATTTGTAATTCTTAAAATAATTAGTTTTAATCAATTAATTTTTATTAATTATAATTAAATTATTGTATTGTCATCCAAAATAATCATGTATATAAAATTTCAGCTCAATTGAGCGCTTTCAAATGTATTTTATTAACGTTGAAAATTCCACCAAGATAAATAAATAAATAGAGAGAGAGAGTGAGATAATGGTAGAAATTGAAAAAGTGTAGCCATACTTTTTAGACACGCCGTATTTTTTAATTGTATTTTAATGATTTAGGATATAAAAATGCTTTATGTGAATTATTGAAATAGTTATCAGAGATAATTGTTTTCAGTAAAACAGATGGTAATATTAAGTAAACAATTACATAAGACAGAGTGTTACGCTCGAATATAAAAGGATTGCTTGTTTTACAGTTAGAGTTATTCCATTTAACTCCTTATTTAAATAGAAGGTTTCGATTAAGTGTTCTAATATTTGAAATTCAAAATAAATCATCAAGTCTACTTTCCTTTGAACCTCCATTTCAACCAACATCATCAGATAACCTCT